AAATTAATATTCATTTTTAATGTATTTGTGTTAGAACACACAAATTTACATATGTAAGCTAATTGTTAAAAATGATATGGAGATACGTAATTAGATGACGTGATTTAAGATTTTCTTTGGTAAAAATCTCTAGATGCAAACTAATTAAGCAAATAAAATCTATTTGGTTTAGTTCCGGCTTGATTTCTCCTGAATTAAACTAACTGGTTAAAAAATGTTACGAAACCGAAATCTTATTTTTTTATATATCATCTCGGAACTTGAGGTAGCACAAGATAGTACAATAATGCGAAGATTGAGTGTTAGGTGCGTTCATTGATAAAGTTGTGAATATGATGAGAGTAAAACGACAAAAAATGATCCTACGTGCATCAGAAGGACACGCTAAGCTGGTTTTCCAATAAACTATGAATCGGAACCAAACAATGTGTTAGTTTACATTTTACATTTTACATCGAAGAGAGATATAAGGATACTGTAATCAGATTCTCAATCTACTGCGGTTGGGGACCATGAACACAATCATACTCCAAAAGAATCTAGTGCCTGTTTGTTTTTTGGTTAACCGAAACATTTCAGTATAGAGAACCGAATGAACCAATCATTTGACTAAATTCCCTATAAATTGATGCGATTGTGGGGACCTTACCGAGGCAAAAAAAAACAAAAAATGAAGCAAAAACATGGTTGAGCATAGCATTAATAAACTTCAACTACATCACAAGACGATCATTGTTTGTGATTGCCAAAGTGTGGTCCAGTTATGATAACTTCATGTAGGAAGCGATCAATGTCATACTTATGACTTCATATATTGAATCACAGTAGATGCAAGTAGTACTGCACTACTGCTTCGTGCTGCTTATGCATTTACAGTAACAAACTATATCTTTAATACCTGCATTATTAAGAGTTTGAAATAAGAAACAATAGATCTCAAGATATCTCAGTCAAACTTTAATGCTTCATTATGTATTGTGTTTTGTTGTGTAATGAGTTAGAGTAGTATCAGGTATTTCTCTTGAAATGGTTTTGATAAGACTAGATAATTTATGCTATTGAATCATTCAGAGAAATTAGCCGAATAGATCGTTATTTTATTTTAACCAGTCTTGTGAAGGGGTTCTGATAAGATTATATAATTTATGCTATTGAATCCCCTTGTGTCACTGGGAGAAATTAGCCGAATAGATAGTAATTTTATGAAGGTTTTTTTATTGCTTTTAGAAAGACTAGATTCGTTTTCCGCGTTACGTGCTGAAAACAAGGTTTGAAAATTATCAATTTTACATGTTTATAAATTGTTGCATTTGATATAACATCTTTTTAAGAAGTTGAATAGTCAATGTCGAATTATTGTGTTGTTTGTATACTGGCTTGAATAAAATATCAAAATTGTATTATTAAATAAATGTATGAAGAAAAAAATTAATAACATTGTTGTAAACTTAAATCATGAATTTAAATATTGTTGAATGTTGGTTTAAGACTGAATCCATTTTAAATATGTTTGATAGTGCAATATTGAATTGAGTAGAACAAAATTTAATAATACATAACATAAATTATCGTAAAAATATAATATTATATTTCATGAACATATTTATTTACTCTATTATATTGCTTTAATTTTATTTTTTATCATTTGCTATGTTTCTTTTAGAATGTTTAAAAAAATATTCTAGAAGTTGTTCACACAATAATTGTATTATTAATTATATGAAATTATTTATTTAGTTATATTGAATTAATATGACATATAAATAATATTTTACCTCAAAATTTTGTTTTAGAAATGTGCAGTCATCATTTTATTTTTGTTTCTAAAGGTATCTCTCAGTATGATAATTGTGAAACCATGGTTACTATAATACTTTATAGTTGATAAGAGACCATATCTTTAAACATATATAATTTAGTGTGAAAGGTTATTGAAAATGATTTTTTCGTCTACATACTAAATTTAAAAATATAATTTATATTGTTTAATGCTGTCGCCAGTAATACAAATTTTCAATCAAATTCTCTTTGTATCTAAACAAAACTATTCTATAGAATACAAAAATAAAAAGTATTATAATCCATAAAAATAAGATAATACAACATTACTGGGAGCGTTTCCCACATTGGCATGAAATTTGGTGTTAAATTTTATTTTTCATCTCCAATCATCACACTAAACTTTGCACCAAAACATTTTTTTTATATTTAGTAACTTTTTAATTTTGGTAATTTATTGCATTAATTATTTGCTGATTTATTATATTTAGTTATTAAAATTTGGCAATTTTTATGTTTATTTATATATATATATATATATATATTACTTTCATTAGTAAATTTATATATATTTATTTTTAATATTATTCGATATTAAAATTTTATACATTTTTATCGTGTTACAGTTTAATGTTACTGGTAATACTCATATAGTTATATGATTAATTAAAAATATAAGTACAATAATAGTTTAATGTTTTAGTAATAAATACAAATAAAATATATGGTATAACTATAAGTTAAAATAATAATAAAAATAATTTATCTATATCTAAATAAAAAGTAATAAAATACATTATTTTAATATTTGATATGATAAATAATATTACACAAAATTGATATAACATTGTTCACACTATATCAAACTTTGTGAAATAATGTCACTTTTTTATGCTTCTAGAGATAAAATTACATCAATTATGTTGTTTTGGTGTCATGGTTAAAAATGATTTAAACCTGTAATCTCAAACAATTGGATTTTTCAGTTTAAATAAAAAAATAATTGGATATTTTACAGGAGTGCAAGTTAGATAAAACTAATATTTTGAAATAGAAATGGTATACACCCTTTCAATATCACGAAAATTGTTGAAAATATATTCCAAATTAGACATAACTAGTATTTTCGCGTGGGAGAAATGATCTATAACATTTCAACCGAAACACTTGTTAAAGCACCGAATTTTAGCAAAAAAAAAAACATTTGTTAAAGCACAGCTACTATATATATACCGTATTCATTTGAATTGAAACATGTCATATATTAACAAAAAAAAAATCCGAAAGTATTTCTATGTTTTCACAGGAGAGGCAAGTAAATGAGGGAAATCACAATATTTTGTTTTTACTTTTATGTTTCCTTGTTGCCCATGTGATGTATAACATTTTTACATGTTTTGGTTATTAATTTTAATTATTTTAATGTTTAGAAGTTGCATTTAGGTGATTAGGTGTTTCATTGATACGTATTGCATACACATGAGGCTGGAGAACATAATTAAAAGTTCTGGGGCAAATCTAAGGACTTTTCTGCACAATACATAAATTTTGGGGTCAAAATAAAGAGGCCAAAACACATGGGCCAATCCTGCAATTTCTCAGAAGATCAGCCAATGTTGTACGTGAGTTGCAGAGCAACAGTTCCATCTCTTGTCAATAGATATGTGATATCATTCAAATATTTAACCTTAAGAAGTGAATTACTCTCTCAAAGAAGAGGTTCAATTGTAGTACTTAGGGATCGAATCCACAGAGAGCTAGAGAACCTAATAGATCTAATAGTTATGTGATTAAACTAGGCTAATAGGTAATAATGCAGTAAACAAATATAGTAAACTAGAAAACACTAAACAAGATGAACAAGGTAATTGTTCGGCTTGGCAAGGATTTGTTTGATGGAATGGTGGTTGCTAGATCTAGGGTTTCTATTCAGGTAATCTGGATTATAATTCTATAGATGCCTAACAAGTTGCATGCATGATATTAAAGAGTTTCAACTCTTAGATGAATCTATCAGCTCTCACAGTCTAGATTCGTCCATGAATCTGATGCAGACAATATCGATCGATGTTTTGACAGCGATATCGATCGATATATACTTGTCGTCGATCGATTACTCTATAGGAGTATCGATCGATATAGCTTCAGATCGAGTTAAAATAGTGCCCACCAAGATCATAGACCGGCTCTCGCTCATCCCTAAAGGAACTTAGCTTATACAATATGATATCAGAATGATGATTAATGAATTAATGCCATCATGTTCATGGTTCTAGTTCATGACTCTAGAATCAAGCACTAGGGTTCATCATGATAATGAATATCACAACTTAGCAATCTATAGTTGGGGCTAATCCCACAACCTATCTGAACCCTAAATCCAACAGGTGGATCTATTCAAACATTAAGATTGTCACAGAAATCATAGATGAATGGATAAGAAATTGCAATAGATATAAAACCCAATGGAGTTCCAGGAGGACTCTGATAGGAGTTCCTCCCTTCTCTCCTAACAAAGAGAATAATGAATCAAAGAAAGCTTAGATAGCGTGTAGCCGTCAACGATGGCTTAAAAATATCATAACTAGGGTTTCAAGTCGTCAAGGGTATTTTGGTAACTTTGTGGTATCTTATGGGCTTCAGTCGGTCATGAAATATACTCGGCCCGCATTCTGGCATCCATATCGATCGATATGAAGGCTTTCCCATCGATCGATATACATTCCTCTTCTCGACAGCTTTCTCTCGCGAGGCAGACTGACCACTCTTCAGTAAAACGGGAATAACTTCTGATCTAACCGTTGGATTGATCTCAAACCGGTGGCATTGGAAAGCTAACTCAAAGCTCTATCTTTTGTACAAATATCAGCTAAATCTCACCATGGTAAGGTCTCCATCCAAATCTAAACATATGACACGTCTGCGCAGTTCTGCACTTAAAAGCTCCAAAAGATACCAAAATCACCATATTTTTCCAGAACGTACCTGAACCTGTAAATACTCTAAATATACTCTATATTGTAGTAAATATGTATGAAAACACCTATAAACCATGGCTAAAAGTGGGTAAAATCCATGGTCGATCAATATGCAAGAGATGTGTGCTCGATCCTACCCTCTCGGCCCCAAACCAAATTCTCATGTCATACCAATTTTGCGCTGCAACCATAGTTTGGTATGACATGAGAATTCTCATATTTACGCCACTAGCTTCACAAAATTCATCCCAACCAAATCCCAAAGCAACAGTTCCATCTCTTGTCAATAGATATGCAGACCATTTCATTCTGTTTTTACCCAAAATAGTTATCTTCCCAAGCTTGTTGATACCATTAGCATTCATGAATTCACTTGGAAGATGTTGTGGAACATTAGAAAAAATACATTTACTTATCAATTATAAATCCAAGACAGAAGCTAACCCATCTTTGAAATGAACTTACCAGCTTGCAGGCTCTGACATCGTCTGGTGTGAGTGTTAATGTGACCGATCGCTTTTGTATTGCTGAGGAAGAATCACTGCTTCTAGGTACTGTGGGAAACATATGCTTTTAAATTGCTAGACTCTGTACCTAACAATCAGAGCATACTAGTCCCGTCTTCCCATATGAACTCCATAGTAAAGGAATCGCCTTACTTAAGGTTGTTTGCTTCAGCAAAATCTTTCCAAGCCTTACCTAAACACACTGTTCCTTTTTTTGCCTGTAGGATTTTTGTCAGCCACTTTCTACCATCTCTACCCAACAGATATATCATTCTGAGCTTGTTCATGCTATTCTATCTCGCAAATTGTGCTGGGAGAACCTGGAAAAATATCCAAAGGAGAATAAATATAATACTAAGAGTCTAAAAGAGAAATCTAATCCTCTGAAAAAAGAAATGTTTGATAAACTTACCAGCCTACACGTTATGAAACAGGAAGGTGTAATCTTTAATGCCACGAATTGTTTTTGGCTTGATGAAGTTGAATCTCTCCCTCACATGATTCTTTTCTCTTTCCATTGACCTGGTCTCTGCTTTACTATCATCCTCTATTGTTTTTCTCTTTGTTGATTTTCCCAGAGCTGTTATGTTCTATGGGAGGAGACTTTTTCTGGTTTGTTTCTGAATATCCTCTCCTCTATCAATGCTATATTCCGCAGGGCACAAGCTAAGCACATGATTTTTGTCTTCCCAAATCAACTTGAGAGTGAAGGAGTCGCCCGTCTTTAAGCTGTTTGCTTCAGCAAAATCTTTCAAGCCGCCTCCCAAAGCCATGATTCTTTAAACTTTCTCGAATACCAAGCTAGTCCAATGCTTAATACCATCTTTGCCTAACAGAGTTATCATCACAGGCTTGTTGAAGTCATTTTTTCCTTGTGAAACTCTATGGATGACGCTGTAGAAAATTTCAATAAATATCAAACAAAAATTTAAAATTGTAATGTAACAAAGCACATCTCCAACTCTAGTCTAATTTTACTCTAAAATAGAGATGCTCTAACGCCTGAAACAAGAAAGTGTGTGAAAAACTCACCAGTCTACACTTACTGACACTGGAAGGTGTAATCGTTAATGTCACAAATTGTTTTATGCTCGATGGAGTTGAATCTCTCCCTCTCTTCTTTCTCTCCCATGACACGTTATCTTCTTTGTTATTCTCATCGTTGCTGCCATTGTTTCTGTTGGTAGGATCTATGAAAAGAGACTGTTTCTTTATAGATTTGAGATACTCTTCTTGCTCTTTGTCATTGGTAGAATCTGCACAACACAAACTAAACACCAGAGTTGCGTCTTCCACATCAACTTGAGTGTGAAGCATGATTCTACACCATTTGCTTTGACAAATTCTTTCCAACCATTTCCCAATCTCATACGTCCTCTGTTCTTTTGCAGAAGGCTTGTCGGCCACTTTGTACCATCTTTACCCAATAGAAATATCTCCCCAGGCTTGTTGATGCTATTCTCTCTCACAAATAGCGCAGGAGGAGACTGTAGAGGACGAATAAAAATGCATCAGAACGAATAAGGGGCAGAATCCAGAGTTGTTATTGATAAACTTACCAAAGTACGATGTGTGACATCAGCAGGTGGAAGTGTAAATGTTACATATTTTTTGGTCCCTGAGAGACATGCGGAGAGCCTCTCACGAGAATGGATCCATCATCGCAGATTCTTTTACCATCTGGAGCAAATAGTATGTTTGGTCCTTTGTAAATGCAGGACCAAGCGCCCATATCCTTTTTAGCAGTTTCGCCCATTCAGCTTTACATTTCTCACAATCCTTCTCAGTTGCAGAACTTGATGAAACGCTAGCTTTGACTAACTGGTTCTTCAATGTCTCAATGGGATCCACATTCACTGGCGAAGCAAAAGGCAATGCTTTAGGCAAAAAAAGATGACACATGAGCTCTTAACAACATGACGCACTTCGAAGCAGATGCAAAACACAATTCATATCAACAAACACACACACACACACAAAAATTAATAAAAAAAACTTCAACTTTTCCTACGAAAAATCTTGATTAACTATAAAATTGACCAGCTATAGAGGCTGACAAATTTACAACCAAAGACGTTAAGTATCGCAAAAGTCCCAAGATCAAGCAAACATATCGAAACAGCAAGGCAAAGGGAAAAGAAAGGTCACAGCTTGAAAATAAAGCATAGTCAGATAAACAACGCACAACCTCAAAAGACAAACAGAAGGATCATCATCATCATATATCATCAAAAAACGGTAAGAAGAAAGTTTTTTCCTATCCAAACAAACAAAGTTGATAGAGATCTATTCAGATGCTATCACCAGGACCTTAAACCCCATATAAAGGAGCCAACTTTCGAACAATTGGTTTCATAGCAACACTGATTCTGTTGAATTCCGAATGAAACCGAAATTGGTTTTCTAAATAATCTTTGGGGTGAGAAAAACTCTAGAAGAACAAAAAAAGAGAAGGGGAAGAAAGAGAACCTACATGTTTGTTGCAGAGAGAAGAGGAAGAAGAAGCTCTAAAGTCGATCGGCTCGGCCTCTCCATTTCTGTTTGTTGCTTTTGCCGCTGATATTCATTGCGATTATCAGATTATTGTTTGTGTGTGTGTAAAGGAGTATGAGGGGAACAAATATATTAAGAGAATCAGAAGAGGAAGACGAAAGAATCCATGAATGATGATGAATACATTGCAAAAAGATGAACTGATGGAGGGTTGTCGATTGACCAATTTTGGTTGTGGAAATCAAAGTTGAAGAAACCGTGAAGAAAGAGAGTTGCGAGAGAGACAGAACGCCACTTTTGATATTTTTGCTGACATGGCAATATAAAGGTCTGGTATTGGTTGATTATTTAGTCCGATGTGGACAGCTTCAAAAGGCTTTATTAAGAGATTTTAATAGTGTATGATTATCAGATTATTGTTTGTGGGAGTGTAAAGGAGTATGAGGAGAAAAAATATATTGAGAGAATGAGAAGAGGAAGACGAAAGGAATCCATGAATGATGATGAATACATTGCACAAAGATGAAGTGATGGAGGGTTGTCGATTGACCGATTTTGGTTGTGGAAATCAAAGTTGAAGAAACCGTGAAGAAAGAGAGTAGTGAGAGAGACAGAACGCCATTTTTGATATTTTTGCTCACATGGCAATATAAAGGTCTGGTATTGGTTGATTATTTAGTCCGATGTGGACAGCTTAAAAAGGCTTTATTAAGAGCTTTTAATAGTGTATGATTATCAAATTATTGTTTGTGGAAGTGTAGAGGAGTATGAGGGGAAAAATATATTAAGAGAATCAGAAGCGGAAGACGAAAAGAATCCATGAATGATGATGAATACATTGCACAAAGATGAAGTGATGGAGGGTTGTCGATTGACCGATTTTGGTTGTGGAAATCAAAGTTGAAGAAACCGTGAAGAAAGAGAGTTGCGAGAGAGACAGAACGCCACTTTTGATATTTTTGCTCACATGGCAATATAAAGGTCTGATATTGGTTGATTATATAGTCCGATGTGGTCAGCTTCAAAAGGCTTTATTAAGAGCTTTTAATAGTGCATGATTATCAGATTATTGTTTGTGGGAGTGTAAAGGAGTATGAGGGGAAAAAATATTAAAAGAATCAGAAGAGGAAGACGAAAGGAATCCATGAATGATGATGAATACATTGCACAAAGATGAAGTGATGGAGGGTTATCGACTGACCGATTTTGGTTGTGGAAATCAAAGTTGAAGAAACCGTGAAGAAAGAGAGTTGCGAGAGAGACAGAACGCCACTTTTGATATTTTTGCTCACATGACAATATAAAAATCTATTATTGGTTGATTATTTAGTCCGATGTGGACAGCTTCAAAAGGTTTTATTAAGAGATTTTAATAGTGTATGATGATAGGCATGGGTTTAAGTGATTAACATTTTTTTTATTTATATATAATATCATATTTATAGATAGGCATAGGAAACATAAAAAAAATTGAACAAAATCAAAATCAATCCCACATGCGCGTATCACTATAATATTATTTGAGAAGTCACTTTCTTAGGTGTCACGCTCACGTTAACTCTTACGCTGGTTGATTACAATGATACCCCTAATGAATTAAAAATATATTGAAATATTATTATTTACTTTTTAAAATCCTCCATATAACAATGTAAAACAAAAAGGAAATATTTATAAAATTTACAAAACTATCTAAAAACGAAAAATAAGTATATATATAATATGGTTTCATAAAAAAAGAAAGTTTACAAAATAGTAATATTTAACTTAAATATATTTTTATATAACATAAATTATACTTTTTAAGTAATTATACTTTATATCTATCTCTATAATATTATTTGAGAAGTCAGTTTCTTACGTGTCGCGCTCACGTTAACTCTCGCGATGGTTGATTACATAGATACCCTTAATGAATTATTAAATTTTAAAATTATTATTAATTATTATTTAGTTTACTTTTTACCTTTTTCCAAATAACATATATAATGAAAAGGAAATATTTCTAAAATTTTAAAACAAATTTTAAAACGAAAATATATGTATATAATATGAGTTTATTAAAAAGGAAAGTTCACAAAATAGTAATACCCTCATTAATATATATTTTTAAAGAACATAAAATATATTTTCAAAATAATAAAAATATATATGTTCATGAACATTCAAAAATTTATCAGTTACACTTTATTTTCTACTATTTTTTTAGAAATCAACATATAATTTGATAAATATTATGAAAATACATGTAAATTTAAGCGATAAATCTTTATAATATTATTTGAAAATTCACTTTTTTATGTGTCGCGCTCACGTTAACTCTCACGCTGGTTGATTACTATGATACCTCTAATGAATTAAAAAAATACATTTAAATTTTATTATTTCTTAAAAAAAATTCAAATAACAATATAAAATAAAAAGGAAACATTTATAAAGTTTAAAAAACTATTTAAAAAAAGAAAATATAAGTATATATAAATATGGTTTCATAAAAAAGGAAAGTTCACAAAATAGCAATATTTAATTTAAATATATTTAAATAACATAAAATATACTTTTGAAGTAATAAAATACTTTATATCTATATCTTCATAGATGAAAAACAATATTTTTATATACATATATGATTCCATAAAAAAAGCTTACACAACTAATCTTTTTTTTTGGCATTGATAATTGAAATCAAAATGATTTTAAACAATAAATATATATATTTGCAAAGTAATTATTTTTTTTAGATATCTATCTATTTTATTAGATGATTACATAAAATAATTAAGTAACATAAACTGATATATGTTTAACTGACAACTTTTTGTTATAATTAGTATTCTTGAAATATTTTTTTTTTAATTTTTAGTATATATAGTTGACTATAATATCTTGCAATTACAGCAACAAATATAAATTTTATTTTATTTATATAATATAATTTCTCAAAAACAATAACATTTTTACTGCATATTTTAAGAGATATTAAAAAAAAACTAAAAAAATGTAACAATAAATATTTTTGATCAAATAACTAAAATTATTTTAAAATATCATCACTATATAATTTAACGAAGTAGATATATTGTATTTTAGTAGTTAAATTGGTTTTTAATTTTATGTTTTTATGTTTGTGGAACTTAATCTAACCATAATCAAAATACTTAAACAAATCAGTATTCTTATTTTAAAATATTTAAAATAAATTTCAGTTTACCATCCAATCAATCTAAATATTGTAAATATTAATATGTGTTCATAAGCTTAGAATCACACAGTTTAGTTTTTGTTTTTTTTTCTTTCTAAGCACAAAAAATTTTAAGTTATACATAATCTAACTAGATATATTTATATTTCAAAGATAACAACCGGCATAAATGTAAATAAGACAATTAATCAAAAATCTAATATATTTAGAATAAAAAAAATTATAGTAGAATTTAGAGAAATAGATAGAAGGTGATATATCCATATGATAACTAAATCAACCGAAAACAATAAAACTGACGAAATATAATATATCTAAAATTATATATATATATATATATAATTAAATTAATATAATATTCTTAATAGAAACTATACCTACAAATTATGAATTAATTTAAAATTTAAAATAAATATAAATCAATTCTTATAATATTTATTTTATAAATATTTATGTCCGTGCATGAGCACGGGAAAATCACCTAGTATATATATATATATATATATATATATATATATATATATATATATATATATATATATATATCCTAACTAAATCAAAACCCTCAACGAGAGCCTAAAGCGTTGTTCGTGTACTTCCACGGGGAAATATGTTAGGGGAGCTTTTATCATGTTTCAGCTCAATTCATGTTGGGTTGGCGGTGGGATATTTGATTTCGACACTATTAGAAAAAGGGATTCCGATAGTGTTAGAACAAACATCTCGACGATTCCCAAAGAGAAACCTCAAAAGTTTTGAGGTAGAAGACAGAATAAGTGCGTTACCGGACGATTTGCTCGTGCGTATATTGTTGCTTGTGCCAACAAAAGATGTAGTGGTTACTATGATTTTGTCAAAACGATGGCGGTCTATTTGGACGATGGTGCCAAAGCTCGACTACCTAGAGATGATCGATGATGATATTAACAAAGTAGTTATTGGCGGTTTACTTGGCCGATTACTTGAGCGTTTTTTCGGCAAAAGTGATCAGAAACTACTGTGGCTTTTGCGGTTTATCGACGAGTCATTACAAGCCCACAAGGCACCAGTTTTAAAAATATTAAATATAGCAGTCGATACAGGACGTCACGTTGATGTTGATGTTGGAAATTGGATTAAAAAAGCGGTTCATAGTAGAGTACGTGAGCTAGGGTTTTTTCTCAGATGGCCAGCGGAGCCTACTAGGTTACCTAATAACCTTTACTCATGTGATACACTCGTTTCTCTAGGTCTTTCCAACAAGATTCTTGTTGATGTTCCTTCTCTACCATGCCTCCCATCCCTCAAAGATCTTGAACTTGACTCTGTGGTATACAAAGATGAAGATTCTCTCGCTAGATTATTGTCAAGTTGTCCTGTTCTCAAACATTTGGTTGTGGAACGACGACACCAAGACAACGTAAAAAATTTCAATATAAAAGCCCCATTATTGGTATTTTTATCATATCATAATGTGGAGTTAGTAGCACACGACCAAGGCACTGAGGGTTGTTTAGTAATAGATTCTCCGGCTTTAAAGAAAATCTTCATCACAGATTACTCGAGAGACTCTTACTCGATCGAGAACCAACCTCGCCTTGACAAGGCAAATATCAACTTCCGTTGGTACCCTGATTACAGGTTTAGGACATCTCTTTCCTCAGTCATGTGTCTCGAATTAGTTTTGAGCTTTGCAACGGTATGTAGTGCTCTTTTCAGTTTCATTCTTTTCATTTTCTCCATTGAGATTGTTAGCATAGACTGACGTGAGATGGAACATGTGTATAAACACATTCTGTTTTACTTATTTGTTGTTGTGTTCATTGCAGCTTCCGTGGTTTAGCACTATTGGGTATTCTCATCTTATAGAATGTAAGATAGTACTTGTACACGACTTAGACTGGTTAGAACCACTTATGAATTTGCTTCAGTATTCTCCTAATCTAAAAATTCTTCTCATCGACAAGGTAGGTATTTTAATCCATTCAAGTTTTTATTATGGGTTAATAAAATGAAAAGTAAATGTGATTCAAAATATTATTATTATTATCCGTTGGTGGTTGCTTCACAGAGATTCCTTCAAGTTGCGGAGGAGTTGCCACTTTCATGGAACCAACCAAGTTCTGTTCCCGGATGTTTGTCAACCCATCTTGAGATCTTTGAGTGGGATGAATATGACGGAAGAAAGGAAGAGAAACAATTCGTAAATTACATCTTTGCCAACTCTAAGTGTTTAAAGAGAGCTGGATTCTCTTTGAAACCAACCAGCATCCATAAAGATAAAGAGAAGATGAAAGAATTGGAGTCTATGTATAGGGTGTCGCCAACATCCCAGCTTCTCTTCTCCACTCAGGTTGAATATATGACTGTTTCAGGTGAAACGAGGGACTAATTTTATTTCATATGTGTTTGCCATTAGTCAAGTGGTTTTCTTTTAATTCTTTTGTAGTATCAAATTGACTAATTATATTTCATGGTTCACGTGTGTTTTGCCTTTTTTTTTTTGAACACGGACTACTTCATTATGAAAGAGTCCAAAAGGACACCGGTTTGTGATTAACCAGACAAATGCAAGACTGAAACTGTAACAATCCAGTTCTTAGGATCTTACTTTCAACCGTATCAACACTTCTCTTTAATCCAATACTTCTTTTATTTCAATCTTAATCGTATTACAAATAACTATATTCAATGAAAACCGAATAACATAACAATAGTTTTAGATGACAATCAATAGAAGTAATCGAATATCTTATGTGAAGAAATGTGAGATTTTATCGAAATTGATAGAAGAACACTTCGTAATTTGATTTGACCTGTCAAACGAAAAGGAAGAACACTTAGATATTGTTGTATCTTCTGTGAGATCGAAGAGGATGATAACAAAGACAAGACTAGAGACTACGGGCAGATGAAACACCGACGAAAAACAAGGCTTCTCTATGTTGAACCTTAAATCGCCATGGAAGAGCCACGACTCTACGCCGAGAAGACAAGGAGAAAAAGAAATTAGGGTATCGGCGACCCCGTGTTTCTCTTTTGTCTTTTTTTTTATAAATTAAGTATAGTATGGTATTTACAAGAATTAAAATCTTATTGGGACAAATTAAAGTTGAGAATGTCTCGTTTTCCAATTTTCTCAATTTGTTATTTGCCTAGAAAACTTACCTTGAAATTTTCTAATACATTATTTGTTAAAAAAAACTTTTCAATAAGTCATCCAAACCCTACAATCAAGTAACTAACTATATCTCAAAAAACAAAAACAAATGCATTAAATATGAAATCAATTTATAAAGTGCTTAATATACATAAAACTAAACCCATATATGTCAAATTTAAATATTTTTAACAATATTAAGATTCCAAATTCTAAAAAATAATTCAATTTCTTGAAAAAATACAATTTTATTAAATATAAATTTATATCACTTATTAAAGTCTATGATTAGATGATTATGATTTTCTCCTATCAAAATATATTTATGAAATTTATAAATTATTTTAAGAACTAATACACTAGAAGACTTTCCTAGGGAGACTTATTGGAAGACTTAAGTATATGCGGGAAACCGAAATTCTTTTAAAAATTTAAACGGAAAACTGCTGTTTAGTCATCCAGAAAGTCGTCTAGTGCATTATAACTTCAAAAATTTAAATCTTCCAAAACTCTAAATCATATATATATATATATATATATATATATATATATATATATATATATATATATATATAACTAAATTGCATACAAAAATTTATTAAACTTTCTAAGTGTTTAATATAAACAAAACTAAATACATATAAGTCAAATTTAGTTTAAAAAAAAATAAGATTCCACAATCTAACCCTAAAAACACATAACATACTATAACATAGTTACCAAACCCTAAACCAAATAATATCATGACTAATTTACATTCACTTATCTATGTTGAAAACTATTTAATTTTGGTAAATCTAAATTTATATCATTTATAAATGTTTATAATTACACGATTATGATTTTTTACAAATCAAAATATTTATTATAAAATTTATATTATTTTTAAAATCTACATAAAAAAGACTTCCAGGATTATAATGGTAAACTGCAATTCTGGGTTATAATGGTAAACTGAAAAGTGATGTTGACAAAAAAAAAAATTGTAATCAGGTTTGCGATAAAATTAACTTTTTCTTATTTAAGAAGTAGTGGACAATTAACCAAAACAACCAAAAACATTAAAAGACCAGATATTAATTTACTATGTACCTTTTTTGTCAGCTAAAAATACTAAGACATTGTTTAAAATATTTCATAACTCTTTTTTATTTTTTTGCAAAAAATCGAAATCAGCAGATAGTCTTTTTATTTAATTTAAAATAAATATAATTTGGTGAATTAATTATATGATTTTCAATTAGTTTAAGTGGATGAAATAACCATCATATGCTACTAAATCTAGATGTTTTTAAGAGGATAGTTAAAAGCCAAAAATGATTAATAAAAACTCTATGAATAGAATTAAACAGAGCTGCATTTTATGTATATATCATAAAGATGAATAAATGCTACTTTAATTGTGAACACTTTTTAATATAGTATATATATAGTATATATATATAGTATATATATAGTATATATATATAATATATATATTTATATTTATATATATTTCACTTAACAAAATTTTCTCAAATAGTAGATTACTTGTTAAAATTGATGTTATAAGACAGATATAAACGTATTAAGTTTTTTAGGTTCAATAAAATATATGTTAAATAATATTCATATGAATATTATTCACAAAATATATCCATATATAAAATAAAATAAAATAAAAGTAATAATTATGATATTTTAGAATAAATTAATGAAAACATTAAATTATTTTAATATAACTAAAACTAAATTTTGGGACAAATTCTCAACTTTTGTATTACCTATATTTTAAGACTATATTTATTTATGTTTTTTAATTGTTGTAAATCTTGAGGGAGTTTATGTCCCAATACGGACCCGGGTTCAAATCCCGCTGGCCACCATCGATTAAAATATGGTGAAAAAGGCGACCCTCCAGGATGTCTTTTGCAGAGGTATACTTAGGCGCTAGTCAGGTTCCCTCCGGGATATCCGAAATACCTCGATTATCACAAAAAAAAATATATATATATATATATTATTTGGCTATGAAATAATTTTCTGAATAAATAGATATATTGATATACAAAACATATTAAATGGTTAAATTTTTAAACAAATACAATAGAAAAATTATTATAGTAAAGCATGGTGAAATAAAAAAAAAACTTATTTAATATATAATTTTGATTGGTTTAAATTTAACCACCACAACATGAAAAACCTACACACACACACATATATATATATATATCCCCTATTTAGTAAAATGTTTGAAAACTCTTTTGGAATCCGAATATAAACACTTACGATCTACACCTACCCACCCGGAACAGCACCGGATGAGTTTAACCCCCGCCCTGATATACACAACAACACATGAAATGGTTAAATTTTTTAACAAATACAATAGAAAAATTGTTATAGTAAAATAAGGTGAATATAAAAAAATAACTTATTTAATATATCATTTTGATTGGTTCAAATTTAACCACCGCAACATGAAAAAACCTACACACAGATATGTATATATATATAAAATATACCCAATCATAAATGTAATATATATTAATAAATGAAAAACATCTGCATGGATGAGTGAGATCAGTATGGCAATTACTTGTGACGCAAGTAACCTCCGAAGCAGAGAAAGGACCAAAACAAGACTTCCCACGCCGTGCTGGATCATCTGTTGGAGCCAACAAGGACCTCCAGAGGCGACGTAATATTGAGAACGGAAGTCAGAGACTACACTCTCTGCAATAGCATTCGCCACTCTGTTTTTATATATGGTCAAGCACATGAATTACTGACCACTCCTCGAAACGGTTTAGGAGATCAAGGGTTTTTTAGGATCAGGAGAGTGAGATCAGGGAAACCGTAAGGATCCAGTAGAGCTTGTCTTAGCTCCACAGATGATGCTTCAAACAGATTTTTCCTTTGTCTCAAGTCCCCCATCGCTTCAACGGCCCACAACAGAGACTTTAGGTTTGATTCCATTTTGGACGGAGAAGAGTTGAAAGCCTGGCGTCTATGGAGGAGAGGACGGCCGTGGTTATCTCTTGTTAACCAACATTACATTTTAAATTTTATAAAACCCTGAGGGGGCTTTTTCCCATGAACACCGAGATATGTTGGATTCAGATTCTGATTTTTTTTTTTTTTTTTTGCTTAAGAATGCAGTCATCTGACACTGAGTTTCACTTTCTTAGAGCACCTCCAATGGAGGTCCTTAGGAAGGAATCCTTAGGAAAAAAATAATTAAATAATTAGTAGATCTCACAAAAGTTAAGGATTTGATCCTTAAAATCCTAAATAAGGATTGTTTCTTAGAGAATTCTTACATTATTTGTGGGTCCCAATGACACGTATCAGCCTGCGAATGATCATCTTTTTTTTTCTTTTTTCTAAAAAAAAAGAAAATCTGAAATATCATTACCAAATCCGAAATACTCTTTTTCTTAAAGACTCCAACGAGTGCTCATTTCGGTAGACAAGTCAACAAAAATCACGTGTTTGCTTACAAAATTAGAAGCCAGCAACATAATTACTATGAACAACTAATTACTACCGACATTTCAAAAAAAAAAATTTGGACGCAATTGCAAGAGACTTTTACGTTATGTTTAACAAGTTGTGCTTAGTCAAAATCGCTGAAATATTCGTTAGCTAATCTGATACTATCACAAGTCAAACCTGATGTAATATCCATATAATACCAAAGTTGTGTGTGGGAAACATAGAACTTTTAAAGAATAAGTAGAAAACGCAATCTTGTATATCCTTTCAAAAGGTCTTGAGATGTCCATGAGCCTTGGTCGAAATTGGTTTATGCCTGTAAACAGTGACAAAACAAAACTGGACATTGTTAAAACCGTTTGATAGACAGAGTAAAAAAATGTTGATTTTGATCAATTACTTAACTTATCATATGATTGATTACTAAATCTCTATATATGTTACTCTCTACCCACACTTAACCTAATTGCAATGTATATATGATGATCAATGTAGCTCCACTTAACCTAATTGCATAAAGCTCAACGAGCCTCAGCGTTGGCATGTGTAACTGCTGTAACTACGAGTCTTTGCTAATGTCTTTACCAATCGAAAAGAAAACTTCCAAACTCTGCGAAACCAAACTAAAAGAGTTAGACACGCGTACTAACGCACATGGGAAGGAGAGAGATAGATATATATATAGAGAGAGAGAGAGAGCAATCACGGAGAGAGAGAAAGAAAGAGTAATATAAATAGGAGAAAAGAGAGAT